TGTAGTGTAGTGTTGTACGTGGTGTGTTTTGTGTAGTGTTGTACGTGGTGTGTTTTGTGTTGAGTAGTGTTGTACGTGGCGTGTTTTGTGTAGTGTTAGTGTTGTACGTGGTGTGGTTTTGTGTAGTGTTGTACGTGGCGTGTTTTGTGTAGTGTTGTACGTGGCGTGTTTTGTGTAGTGTTGTACGTGGCGTGTTTTGTGTAGTGTTGTACGTGGCGTGTTTTGTGTAGTGTTGTACGTGGCGTGTTTTGTTAGTGTTTGTACGTGGTGTGTTTTGTGTAGTGTTGTACGTGGCGTGTTTTGTGTAGTGTAGTGTTGTACGTGGCGTGTTTTGTGTAGTGTAGTGTTGTACGTGGCGTGTTTTGTGTAGTGTAGTGTTGTACGTGGCGTGTTTTGTGTTTAGTAGTGTTGTACGTGGTGTGTTTTGTGTAGTGTAGTGTTGTACGTGGTGTGTTTTGTGTAGTGTAGTGTTGTACGTGCGTGTTTTGTGTAGTGTAGTGTTGTACGTGGTGTGTTTTGTGTTTAGTAGTGTTGTACGTGTGTGTTTTGTGTACTGTAGTGTTGTACGTGGTGTGTTTTGTGTTTTAGTAGTGTTGTACGTGGTGTGTTTTGTGTTTAGTAGTGTTGTACGTGTGTTTTTTTGTGTTTAGTAGTGTTGTACGTGGTGTGTTTTGTGTAGTGTAGTGTTGTACGTGGTGTGTTTTGTGTAGTGTAGTGTTGTACGTGGCGTGTTTTGTGTAGTGTAGTGTTGTACGTGGTGTGTTTTGTGTTTAATAGTGTTGTACGTGGTGTGTTTTGTGTAGTGTAGTGTTGTACGTGGTGTGTTTTGTGTTTAGTAGTGTTGTACGTGGTGTGTTTTGTGTAGTGTAGTGTTGTACGTGGTGTGTTTTGTGTTTAGTAGTGTTGTACGTGGTGTGTTTTGTGTGTGTAGTGTTGTACTGGTGTGTTTTGTGTTTAGTAGTGTTGTACGTGGTGTGTTTTGTGTATGTAGTGTTGTACGTGGCGTGTTTTGTGTAGTGTAGTGTTGTACGTGGTGTGTTTTGTGTAGTGTAGTGTTGTACGTGGCGTGTTTTGGTGTAGTGTAGTGTTGTACGTGGTGTGTTTTGTGTTTAGTAGTGTTGTACGTGGTGTGTTTTGTGTTTAGTAGTGTTTGTACGTGGTGTGTGTTGTGTTGAGTAGTGTTGTACGTGGTGTGTGTTGTGTAGTGTAGTGTTGTACGTGGCGTGTTTTGTGTAGTGTAGTGTTGTACGTGGTGTGTTTTGTGTTTAGTAGTGTTGTACGTGGGAGAGAGTATGCGCTAGCGTCTATGTGGTAGCTGTGAGTATTTTGTGGCTGGTGTAGTGAGAGGTAAGACTGGTAAAGCCAGGTAAGCCTCAGAACATTCATGGTAAGCCACCAGGATAACATTACTTTGCCAAATGAAAAACACACAAATACATAGCCATGTTTGCCAGCTTAATTGTAAAACAAAATATCTGACACTTAAATAAAAGAAATGTTTAATGTCATAATTATAGGATTGTATTCGGAGTATATAAGTAAGAGGTGTGTGTGTGTGTGTGTGTGTGTGTGTGTGTGTGTGTGTGTGTGTGTGTGTGTGTACACGTAATGTGCATGCATCTACTTGGGTTGAAGGTTGAGTCGTGGCTCCTGGACTCTCCTCTTAATGCTTTTGAGAGGAATTGCTGTACTTCCGACCTGTTGAGCACTGTCATACCTACTCTAAAAACTGTGTGTGTGTGTGTGTGTGTGTGTGTGTGTGTGTGTGTGTGTGTGTGTGTGTGTGTGTGTTCGTTTACACTGCTTGCTTGGTTACATGCAGGTAGGCTGCCTGGGGAAGCAGTGTTACACAGTGCTGGGTGATTTTTAAACTCTCTCTCTGGCCTGCGGGTGGATACTATCCTCCTCCTTCACGTACTACACTCATTCTTCAATATTCATTCACTCATTCTTCAGTGTTCATTCACTCATTCTTCAGTGGTCTTGCACATTCTACAATATTTCTGTGACAACTCATTATCCAGCGTTATTTTCTGAACGTTCAACACTAGGGGAGTTTTAGGTTAGAGTAGGAAACTTGGGGACGGGGGTTAGCGCCTCCCCGTAGCCTGGTCCCAGACCAAGCCTTCTGAAAGATCAAGATTTGATCAGCCAGGCTGTTGCTGCTGGCCTCACGCAGTCCAACGTGCCAACCATAACCCGGCTGATCAGGAACAGCTAGAATTGTGATGGTAATTCCTAGAAGGTAACATATATATATTTGCATTAAAAAAAAACATAATTAAACATGAAAGAAGGAAGTTAAGAACTGGCGCGTTACGTCTGGCAGGGAAGGTTTAGTGGGGAGAAATACAGGTATAAAACGTGTGCAAAATGTACACGTTTTATACGTGGTAAAGACAGTGGTTGTTCACTAGATGGCTTGCGCTTGATTATACCTCCCTTGATCCCCTTAACTCCTAGCTCCCTCCCTCCTTCCCCTGCCCCTCCTCCCTCCTTCCCCTGCCCCTCCTCCCTCCTTCCCCTGCCCCTCCTCCCTCTCGTCTGGTCTTTTGCTCTGCCTAGCAAATGTGTGTGTGGTAAGGTGGAAAGGTTAAGTGTGTTGTAGCAGACTGGTGATTGTTAGTTCCGGAGTGTTAGTGCTGTCTTGCACTTCTCAACCCCTGTAACCTCCAATGATCACCACCACCAGCAGTCACCACCACAGCCACAAACCACCACCACCATTCCTAAGCATCAAAGGCTTCCTTTACCATTGTAGGTCACTCAACATTGACTATAAAGGCAACGAGGCAGGATTGTTGTGATCGGGTGATGTATTAGACTTAGGTCTGTCAAGTGTACTACAGTAATTAAGTCTGCGGATCATCTCTCTATCACCAGTCAAGAATACTTTAATATCTAAAATAATTAACTTCAGAGAGAGACTGATTCCTCCATGTGTGTACAGTACACTGAAGATACCTCGGCACACGTGCAACAGTATCTGAGGTGGTCAGTCCCTCAGCCTGGAGTTGACTCCAGGCTGAGGGACTGATTACCTCAAACTCCTGATCATCACCATTTCTCTTCGTATAGGACTGAAGAAGTCACTATGTGGCGAAACGTTTCCTGTGCTAAATGTCCTGCACTGTACGCAAGTGTCTCTTTTCACTGACTGGCCCATGCTTGGCAGGTCCTCCTCAAATCCACCCCATCCTCCCTTTCCCCCTCAAACATTTATGTAACCTTTGTCAAAGCTCCTGTGCGAGCGAAACGTTGCCTCAATAAAAAAAAAAGTCACAGTATTTCATCTGTGTCCATTTGCCTAAAATTTTGTGTAACCTATTCTAAATCTACCTAAAGTGAAGATAAACCACAGAACGGGTTTATCTCCTAGTGATTCATAAAACCCCAGGCCAGTGCGCTAACCACTGAGTGTAGTTGTAGGTTCCATAAAACCCCAGGCCAGTGCGCTAACCACTGAGTGTAGTTGTAGGTTCCATAAAACCCCAGGCCAGTGCGCTAACCACTGAGTGTAGTTGTAGGTTCCATAAAACCCCAGGCCAGTGCGCTAACCACTGAGTGTAGTTGTAGGTTCCATAAAACCCCAGGCCAGTGCGCTAACCACTGAGTGTAGTTGTAGGTTCCATAAAACCCCAGGCCAGTGCGCTAACCACTGAGTGTAGTTGTAGGTTCCATAAAACCCCAGGCCAGTGCGCTAACCACTGAGTGTAGTTGTAGGTTCCATAAAACCCCAGGCCAGTGCGCTAACCACTGAGTGTAGTTGTAGGTTCCATAAAACCCCAGGCCAGTGCGCTAACCACTGAGTGTAGTTGTAGGTTCCATAAAACCCCAGGCCAGTGCGCTAACCACTGAGTGTAGTTGTAGGTTCCATAAAACCCCAGGCCAGTGCGCTAACCACTGAGTGTAGTTGTAGGTTCCATAAAACCCCAGGCCAGTGCGCTAACCACTGAGAGTAGTTGTAGGTTCCATAAAACCCCAGGCCAGTGCGCTAACCACTGAGCGTAGTTGTAGGTTACATAAAACCCCAGGCCAGTGCGTTAACCACTGAGCGTAGTTGTAGGTCACATAAAACCCCAGGCCAGTGCGCTAACCACTGAGCGTAGTTGTAGGTCACATAAAACCCCAGGCCAGTGCGCTAACCACTGAGCGTAGTTGTAGGTCACATAAAACCCCAGGCCAGTGCGCTAACCACTGAGCGTAGTTGTAGGTCACATAAAACCCCAGGCCAGTGCGCTAACCACTGAGCGTAGTTGTAGGTCACATAAAACCCCAGGCCAGTGCGCTAACCACTGAGCGTAGTTGTAGGTCCCATAAAACCCCAGGCCAGTGCGCTAACCACTGAGCGTAGTTGTAGGTTCCATAAAACCCCAGGCCAGTGCGCTAACCACTGAGCGTAGTTGTAGGTCCCATAAAACCCCAGGCCAGTGCGCTAACCACTGAGCGTAGTTGTAGGTCACATAAAACCCCAGGCCAGTGCGCTAACCACTGAGCGTAGTTGTAGGTCACATAAAACCCCAGGCCAGTGCGCTAACCACTGAGCGTAGTTGTAGGTCACATAAAACCCCAGGCCAGTGCGCTAACCACTGAGCGTAGTTGTAGGTCACATAAAACCCCAGGCCAGTGAGTATAATTAGTAGGTCACATAAAACCTGAAGAATACACATGAAGACTTAAGGAGAACACTTTTGATGAGTTTCGAGTCTTACTACTCTAGTCTGGTGTTTGCCAGGTCAACCAGGCTGTTGCTGTTGGTGGTCTGCTGCCCCACATATCCATCACAACCTGGTTGATCTAGCCCCTGGTGAAGATACTTGTCCAGTTTCTTCTGGAAGACTTTTTCAGTTATTCCAGTCTTGTATCTTCTGGTAAGATGAATATTATCTTGGGGCCACGAATATTGATGCAGTGTTTCCTTATTGTGCTCCTGGCACCCTTCCTTTTTACATAAAACTGGTCCATAAAACTGGTAAAGATGTGTGGTTTTGTTGTTTCAGGATCTGGTGACGCAGATGTTACACCTGGACCCAGGGCAGAGGTTGACGGCAGCCCAGGTAGCCAACCATCCTTGGTTGCTACACCGGGAGGCACTACCCAACCTGAGGCTGCTCCTGCAGGATGCCTCTCTCGTCAAGGGCGCCATCACCGCCACCTACAGGTATTTTAACCTCTATTGCATATCTACCTTTCTTTGCTAAGTAGTTTGCTGTATAATCCTCCGGGTTTAGCGCTTCCCCCTTGATTATAATAATAATAATGCTAAGTAGTTTTATGCACACATACACACACATACACACACACACCCCACACACACACACACACACACACACACACACACACACACACACACACACACACACACACACACACACACACACACACACACACACACAGCGGAGCTGAGTCTCGACCCTCACAGACTCATCTAGGTAAGTACACACAGTTTCCACACTACACGCTTGTGGGAGAGAGGACTTGTGCCTTTACCAACCCGTATAATGAATGACACAAATCAGGTATCTCTTAATAAAACGCAAAACTAACATAACATTAGTTATGAAGAAATACGCTGCGGTATTAGCCTTTCCCGGTACCTGGTAAACAGCTGTTTAGATCTTTGGTAACGTATGTTCTGGTGTAAACTCTTGGTAACAGATACCGAGAAATTGGTTTAAAGAACGTGAACAAACACCAGGACATATTTATTAGGAAACACGTTTCAGTCCTGAGACTTTGATCACGCCTAACACATTTTTAACCTCTGTAAACATAACTTCTCAGTCCACAGCAGGATTGGAATATGCAAACTCTGCATCCTACTGTGGACTGACCGATGATGTAAATAATCGCGGCTGTCTCCGAATTGTTAAGCATTTAAGTTCTCTCTGTGTTAGAAGTGATCAAGGTCCCAGGACCGAAACGTTGTCTTAAGATTCGTAGTGTTTGCTCACCTGTCTTTAAATCAAAGTTAGTTGTGCGAAGAGTGCTTCTAGTGGCTTTGCTGTGTTGCTCTGCATGGAAATTGGCTTATTAACGGTTGTGGCTTATCTTGGCTGTTAATATCCGGCTTCATGGATAACTGATATAATTTTGCTATAGTTTCTCTGAGGATACACAAATAACCCGCACATAAATGAGAGAAGCTTAAAATGACGTTTCCGTGTGACTTGTGAATAGTCCAAGTTGGACCGAAATGGCGTCATGAGCCTGTCTCTCCTATGTACGGGTTATTTGTGTATTGTTCCAGTCACGGTATTGTCATTTTTGTTCTCTCTTAAGGAAAATGGTTATAGGGTAGTCGTCTTTACGTTTTTATAACCAGAGGTGTTCATTGCAGAGCCATCAATCACTCTCCCCGAGCACCCAACCTCGGCCCTGTTGCTGCCTCAGCGCTGGCCAGGCGACGTGGCAAGTCCCGGCCAAAGTCTTCCACGGAGGTCTGACATCCGGCTCTCTCCTGCCTCCAGAGTGAGGATGTCGTAGCCATGTCTCCGCAGCCAGACTGGCCAACTACCTCCTCGATCTTCACCTCTAGTGGTGATGCCTCTCAGCATTACCTCTCTGCGGGACCAGTAACAGACCTGGAGGCATCCAGCTTCCAGGTCCAGCCACCTTCCTGGTCTCTCACTTCCCAAGATGACACCAGTCCCATAGCATTCGACCCACTTATCGCGAGTCCAGCTTCACCGAAAGCAGAGGTCTTGAGCGCTCAGGTTCACCCCTGTGAGGAACGTAGTCTCTCCGTGTCTGCTGGCGGCCACAAACAGCAGCAATCTCATCAGCAAAAGTTGCAGCGAAAGCAGAAAGACCAGAAGCAGCAGTTGCAGGGGCAGAAGCATCAGAAACAGCAACAGCAGCAGCAACAGCAGCAGCAACAGCAGCAGCAGCAGCAGCAGCAGCAGCAGCAGCAGCAAGGGCGACATAAATCACAGCGCCGATCACATCGTCGTCATCGTCGTCGGCGACGTACAACCTCCACTGCTTCTTGAATTTCTGGTCCTAAGCTGTAAACAACCGGGGGCATCCTGTGGCTCCAGTAGCTACTTTGTTCCTTGCTCCAATCGTCACTTTCATTTTTAAGTGAATCCGTATATAGCTGGCAGTAATTTTTAGGTCAGATCTACTGCAGTGTTTAACTGTCAGGGTTGGCTTTCTGAAAGGACGTTGTTTATAGTTACAAGTGTTACAAACCAACAATCAAATCTGCGAGTGAATGGACGTGCGACCTAGCGAAGGGAAAGAGGTGGGAAAGATGCCTGGTTCGCATGGTGATTAAAGGGAGTTTCTAAATGTGATTTATTTTGGTAAAGCCTGGAAAGTTACGGTGTAAAACAGACCAAATGTGTTCCCATGGAAGGTGGACGGGCCTAACTTATGTACGGGTGTCCCTTTCAAATTCATAACCTTCACGATGTTCACAAATATGTACAGAGGGATCGAACCTCCCTCGTGCTGTAATTAGGTAGATGTTGAGACACAGCTGGCATTATAGTCACACCTGAGAGCTGTAGCATGTTAGCGTGTCAACTTTGGCAGTGCTTGGAGGCACCTCTGGCACCCAAAGCCTCTCAACACGGCTCATCCTGTCGGAATTCCATCCTCTTGCGTGGCTTGTGTACTCAACCCAGTTAAGCCAGGTTACACAAAGCATAATTTATTGTGAATATTACTGAAGGTATGTACTATTTAATAAAGTTTTTGAGACAGTGTATGTTGAGAAATAACAGCGTCAGCTACCAGCAAGGTGCGTATAATATATATATATATATATACAGTGGACCCCCGGTTAACGATATTTTTTCACTCCAGAAGTATATTCAGGTGCCAGTACTGACCGAATTTGTTCCCATAAGAAATATTGTGAAGTAGATTAGTCCATTTCAGACCGCCAAACATACACGTACAAACGCACTTACATAAATACACTTACATAATTGGTCGCATTTGGAGGTGATCGTTAAGCGGGGGTCCACTGTATATATATATATATATATATATATAATATATATTTATATATTATATATATATTATATATATTATATATTATATATTATATATATATATATATATATATATATATATATATATATATATATAAACATTGTCTTGGAATTTGTCAATAAGTTTAGTTGCAATGGAAATACTGTATGTATATTAAAGTGTATTAATTTTTAATGGTGCCGATATTAAAATTTCATTACAAACATGTATTTAAAAACCTTAACATTACTACAACATGTGTTTAAAACTCTTGAGGATCAATATGTAATGAAAAGTTTTTAAAAATCACTTTAGCGTGTGTTTAAACGTATTACAGTCACTTTAGCGTGTGTTTAAACGTATTAGTCACTTTAGCGTGTGTTTAAACGTATTACAGTCACTTTAGCGTGTGTTTAAACGCATTACAGTCACTTTAGCGTGTGTTTAAACGCATTACAGTCACTTTAGCGTGTGTTTAAACGCATTACGGTCACTTTAGCGTGTGTTTAAACGTATTACAGTCACTTTAGCGTGTGTTTAAACGCATTACAGTCATTTCAATATGTGTTTAGAAGTCTATGATCACTTTAGTATTTTAGAGGCCTCTCACTCCAACATGTGGGGGAGAGAAACACGTGTAACAACTATCCTTGTTGTGTTTCATGTCTAAGATAAGGCGCTACAGGTGTTGGAGTCTTAGGAAGGTGTTGGAGTCTTGGTAAGGTGTTGGAGTCTTGGTAAGGTGTTGGAGTCTTGGTAAGGTGTTGGAGTCTTGGTAAGGTGTTGGAGTCTTAGGAAGGTGTTGGAGTCTTGGTAAGGTGTTGGAGTCTTGGTAAGGTGTTGGAGTCTTGGTAAGGTGTTGGAGTCTTGGTAAGGTGTTGGAGTCTTAGGAAGGTGTTGGAGTCTTAGGAAGGTGTTGGAGTCTTAGTAAGGTGTTGGAGTCTTAGGAAGGTGTTGGAGTCTTAGGAAGGTGTTGGAGTCTTAGGAAGGTGTTGGAGTCTTAGGAAGGTGTTGGAGTCTTAGGAAGGTGTTGGAGTCTTAGGAAGGTGTTGGAGTCTTAGTAAGGTGTTGGAGTCTTAGTAAGGTTTTGGAGTCTGGGAAAGGGTTTTTGGATTTGGAAGGGTTTGGATTTGGAATTTGGGGTCTTGAAGGTTTTGGAGTTTTTATAAGGTTTGGACTAGAAGGTGTTGAGTCTAGAAGGTTTTTTAGTCTTGCAGGGTTTTGGATTCTTCAGGTTTTGGTTTTAGCAGGGGTTGGAGTCTTAGAAGGGTGGTTTCTTAGCAGGGGTTTGGATTTTAGAGGGGTTTTTGGATTCTTAGCGGGGTGTTGGAGTCTTAGCAAGGTGGGATTCTTGCAGGTTTTTGGATTCTTAGCAGGGTGTTGGAGTTTACAAGGGTGTTGGATTCTAAGGGGTGTTGGATTTTACAGGTTTTTGGTTCTTAGCAGGGTTTTGGGGAGTCTTGCAAGGTGTTGGATTTTTAGCGGGGGTGTTGGAGTTTGGGGAAAAAGGGTTTTGGTTTTTTAGAAAGGGTTGGATTATTAGCGGGTTTTGGGGTTTACAGGTGTTGATTCTTAGAAAGGGTGTTGGAGTCTTGAAAGGGTGTTGGATTTTAGCAGGGTGTTGGAGCTTAGAAGGGTTGGATTTTAGCGGGGGTGTTGGAGTCTTAGCGGTGTTGGATTCTTGCAGGGGTTTGGAGTCTTGCAAGGTTTGGCCTACTGCCCCAGGTACAACGTTACCTGCCCAGGTGTCCAAGGTGTGTGTTTTGGGGAAGTTACACACCAAGGTGTGTGTATGTGAGAGTATCACACCAAAGGTGTTGGGAAGTATACACCCAAGGATGTGTTATTAGAGTTAACCTGGGGGGTGTGGATGATGGTGATATGTGAGAAGTGGTTCCCTGTAATACACCATGGGGTATATTCTGTATATACACCCAGGATGTGTAACACAAAAAAAATCATAATACAATGTTATTAAACACGGGGAAGTAGTGTGTGCACACCTTGGGGCCAATACCAAAACTATGAAGGGGGGCGTGTTTTGGTTCCCCAACCTTGGTAGTCCAGGTCCAACCCTTGGTGGAGTCCAGTTCAGCCCGGGGTTAACCTTGGTGGAGTCCAGTGCCAGTCCAGAGTCAATTGGTGGGTCCTGTCCAACCAGGTAAATTTGGCGGATCCAGGCTCCAGCCCAAACCCCCTTGGGGAATCCAGTGTTCCAGCCAGGGTCAACCTTGGGGGCCCGGTCCAGTCCAGAGTAAACCTTTGGGGGAATCCTGTCCGTCCAAGTCAACCTTGGTAATCCAGGCCTCCAGGGTAAACCCTTGGCGGAGCCCAGTCCCCAGTCCCCATCACCTTGGGGGAACCGTGTTCAGCCCGGGGTAAACCCTTGGGGAAACGTGCTCCATCCGGGGTTTAAACCTTGGAGTCCAGTCTCCAGCCCCGGGTAACCTTGGGGGAGTCCATGCTCCTTCCGGGGTAAACCTTGGTGGAGTCCAGTGCTCCAGCCCGGGGTAAACCTTTGGTGGAGCCCCAGTCTCCAGCCCAGGGTCAACCTTGGTGGAGCCCATGCTCCAGTCCGGGGGCACCTTGGGTGGAGTCCGTGCTCGTCCGGGGTCAACCTTGGTGGAGTGGGGTAATGCTAGTATAAGACCAGCCTCTATAGGTGCCCCTACAATTATGCTGGTCAGCAGGGTGGTGCGTTGACATGGGGAAGGTCACAGAAGGCTAAAAGATTTGGGCCCCACCATGTGGATCCTTTTGAGAGATCCTTGGGTACCTGGGAGGAAACATCCCGGGGCCTTTTTTGAAGGTAGAGTTAGGCTCGTAAAAACCCACGGGAAACCCCCGACGCCCGCCACGTTTTCTTTTGCAGCGCCTGTGTGTGGTACCCAGAGGGAAATCTGCTGCATCTTGAGCCCCCAAAACCCCTTTTTGAAGAGAGAGTTACACCTAAATTTGTATGCAAGATCCTATTAATATGAAACATATGTTCTGTTCCCTGTATTAAGGGGGTGATATGTCGTCCCAAAAGGTAAATCTTGCTGCTTTGGCTTCTTCCGAAAAAGGCAAGTGAAAATTTTTTGTATGCAAAATTTCGCAAAAATCATTTTGAATCAACGAAAAATATTTTTAATTTTGTTTGTTTATTATTAAAATTTTTGTAAAAAATCTAAAAATTTTTTAGTTGGGGTTGACTAAATTAAATTGCGTTGTTATAAAAAGGTCAGGTAAATTTCAAGGTTTTTTTGGTACAAAATTATTAATTTTTAAGACATAAAAAAAAAAAATATAATTTTTAAAAATAAAAGAAAACTTTTGAAAGGATTTAATTTTAAAAAAGTTCTTTTAGCTGACCAGTTTTACCCATTTTAACTAAATTTCCCGTGATCCCGAGTTTGATTTGGGCTTGGGGGAACCCCCCTCTTCCGGGCAAAATTCATTACCTCCTATTCCCCCGGCGCGTATGACCTTCTGGGTTTAGCGCTTCCCTTGAAGCAATAATAAAATAAAATTTGTGACGGGAGGTGGGAATTAAAAAAAGGAACCCGGGAACCTGAAGGAACCTGAAGGAACTGAAGGAACCTGAAGGAACCTGAAGGAACTGAAGGAACCTGAAGGAACTGAAGGAACCTGAAGGAACCTGAAGGAACCTGAAAGGGAAACCCGAAGGAACCTAAGGAACCCGAAAGGGAACCGAAAAGGGAAACCCGGGAAGGAATCTGAAGGAACCTGAAGGAACCCGAAGGACTGAAGGAACTGGGAACTGAAGGAACCTGAAGAATCTGAAAGGGAAACTGAAGGAACCTGAAGGAACCTGAAAGGGAACTGAAGGAAATGAAGTCTCGTTAAGGAATGAAACCCCCAATTTTTTTTAAGCCTGAAGGTAAGAATTTTTTGGAAAAAATTTTGAATTTAGGATTTGAAGGCAGGGAGGACCTGGGCTGAAAATTTTTTGAGGAACCCCGGAGGGAAAGGAAACCCGAGGATATTTCCGGGGGTAAGGCCCCCCCCCCGGCCCGGTCTTTAAGGCCCGGGCCCCGGGTTGAGGGACCAAAAAAAAACACGGAACAAAACCAAACAAAACAAAATCTGAGACAAGATCGAGGTGGGGGGGGGGGGGGAATGAAAAATCGGGTTGGACCCCATTAAGCTGTTCAGGAATCATTCTTTTTGTAGACTGAAAATGAACAAGGAAAGGTTTCCCCCCTGAATCAAGAACCCAAATTGTCTTCCAACCTGACATCACCTGATACACTCTTGTCTTCACCTGACATCACCTGATACACTCTTGTCTTCACCTGACATCACCTGATACACTCTTGTCTTCACCTGACATCACCTGATACACTCTTGTCATCACCTGATACACTCTTGTCTTCACCTGACATCACCTGATACACTCTTGTCATCACCTGATACACTCTTGTCTTCACCTGACATCACCTGATACACTCTTGTCTTCACCTGACATCACCTGATACACTCTTGTCTTCACCTGGATGACCTGATACACTCTTGTCTTCACCTGGATGATCTGGTACACTCTTGTCTTCACCTGACATCACCTGATACACTCTTGTCTTCACCTGACATCACCTGATACACTCTTGTCTTCACCTGACATCACCTGATACACTCTTGTCTTCACCTGACATCACCTGATACACTCTTGTCTTCACCTGACATCACCTGATACACTCTTGTCTATCACCTAACCATCACCTGATATGCACACTTGTCTTCACCATGTATGACCTGATACACTCTTGTCTTCACCTGGATGATCCTGATACACACTTGTCCTTCACCTGGATATCAGATACACTCTAGTCTACAACCTGACACCTGTACAACTCTTGTTTTCCTGGATGAACCAGATACAAAAAATAAACTCTTGTCTTCGCACCTGGATGAACCTGGTACACTCTTGTCTTCACCTGGAAGACTCTGATACACTCTGTCTTCACCTGACCAACCTGATACACACGTTTCTTCCACCTGGACCTG